TCTTGGGGAGAAAAAGGGACATCTGTAATATTTTAAACAAAAATAAAATTTGAAAAAAAATAATCAAAGTATAGGGCCTGACCCATATCCTTCCACCTGATTATTTATTCCATCTGGGCACTCTACTTCATGGCGGTGAAGCCCCACAGGCCAGCCATCTGCAGCTCCTATCTCCCAAACCCCCTGCATGGGTCTTACCTCCCAAATTGGTTAGAATCTTTTGTTGCAACTCACAGAAACTGAAACTTTTATTTTTCTTTTAATGGGAACTTTTTGCTCATGGAACTGAAAGGTCCAGGGATAGATGTAAATCAGGGTTTTTTTCCCCTCAGCATGGCTGACATTTGGGATCAGATGTTTCTTTGTGTTGAGCAGCATCCCTGGCTCCCACCCACTCAATGCCAGGAGAACACCCCATCGTGACAATGACAAATGTTCCCAGACATCACCCAGTGTTCCCTGGGGGGTACAATCACCCCTGGTTGAGACACACTTGTCCAGCTGGTTTCAGGCTCCACTGGATCCAGGACCTCCAAGCAGTGCCACAAAGATTCATCCATCTCTTCGTCTCTTGGCTCTGTCATTCTCTCTCTTGACTTTTTACCTCAACAGTCTCATTTGTGGGGACAAAGAGGGTTCCAGCAGCTCCAGCAGCTCAACAGCCCCAGCAGGTCAGCACTTCTTCCCCGAAAAAGCCCATTAAAGTTCAAGGGACGGTTCTGATTGGCCCAATCTTGATCACATGTTCAATCAATTGTTGTGACCAGGCAATAGAAAGCCCTAATTGGCTAAGGTGGGCCACATGGTTATATGGAGTTAGCCAACGTAGTGAGTACCCTATGAGGTGAGCCAGCAAGGTGTATGCAGCTAGCCAATGGGGTAAGAATCCTCTGGACTGGGTTGGAAGAATGGGGAGTAACCCTGAGCAAAAAGTCTGCGTTGCTCAAAATGTTAAATATAGAATCACCATGTGATCCAGCAGGTCCACTCCTTTCAAATCCAGAGAATTGAAAGCAGGGACTCAAACAGATACTTACCTGTACACGACTGCTCACAGCAGCCTGATTCACAACGGCCAAAGATGGAAACAACTGCTGTGTTCATGGACAGATGGGCGGGCAAACAAAACATGGTCCATCCACACACTGGAGTATTACTTAGCCTTTATTTATTTTTTATCCTCACGCAAGGATATTTTTTCCATTGCTTTTCACAGAGAGAGGGAGAGAGAGGAAGAGAGAGAAACATCGATGTAAGAGAGACACATCAATTGGTTGCCTCCTGCATGGGCCCCAACTGGGCTGGGGATGGAGCCTGCAACCCAGGTACGTGCCCTTGGCTGGAATCAAACCCACGACCCTTCAGTCGGTGGGTCAACGCTCTAACCACTAAGCCAAAACGGCCAGGGCTATTTAGCCTTTAAAAGGAAGGACATTTGTTCTTTCTCCACCATCGTGGTGTGCACGGTTGGCTCTCCTGTGCCATGTCTTCTCACAAGACTTTCAGGATCAAGAGGTTCCTAGTCAAGAAACAAAAGCAGAATCGGCCCAATCCACAATGGATTCAGATGAAAACTGGTAATAAAGTCTGGTACAACTCCAAGAGGAGACATTGAAGAAGAACCATACTGGGTCTGTAAGGAATCACACAGGAGAGATGGCTCACATTTATGCTGTATCCAGGTTGCCTGCAACTTTAAATGACTGAGAAGATCACTACTGTCCGGACAGTTGAACGACTTAATTGTGAAAATTTTGGAAGCGTGCTTTCTCTTTTGATTTTTCCCCCCTGCAGTAGTAGGTTGGTTTAGTAATAAATGTGAGACCTTTTAAAAAATAAAAATAAAAAAAATAAGGAGGACATTCTGCCTGGCCGGTGTTGCTCAGTGGTTGATTCGTGGAGGTCATGGTTCAATTTCTGGTCAGGGCACATGCCCGGGTTTCGGGCTCATCCCCAGTAGGGGGTGTGCAGGAGGGAGTCGATTGATGATTCTCTCTCATCATTGATGTTTCTGTCTTTCTCTCCCTGTTTCTTCTTCTCTCTGAAATCAATTTAAAAAAAAAAAAAAAAGGAGGAATATTCTGACACCTGCTACAGTGTGAATGAACATAATGCTAAGTGACATAAGCCAGGCACAAAAGGACAAATACTTTGTGGTTCCACTCATAGGAGGTCCCTAGAGGAGTCAAGTTCATAGAGACAGAAAATAGATAGTAGGAGCCAGGGGCTGGGGGTGGGGGATAGGGAGTAAGTGCCCAATGGATGGTCACAACGGGTGCACAACAATGTGTGCTTAATACCACTGAGCCATGCACTAAACAATGGTTAAGATGGTAATTTAAAAAAATGTATGTGTTTATTGATTTTAGAGGGAGAGAGAGAGAAACATCAATTGGCTGCCTCCTGCATGCCTGCCCCTGGGAAACCTGGGCATGTGTCCTGACCAGGGTTCTAACCGGCAACCACTTGGTACATGGGACGACGCTCAACCAACTGAGCCACACCAGTTAGGGCAAGATGGTAAATTTTATGTTATGTGTGTTTTACAATAAAAAGTGTACTAATTAAAATCTCCCCCCACAGTGCCTTGGCCATGATGACCATCTCCCTGATGTCCTTCCAGGGCAATCTCTGTGAACAATGGTCCAGCCTACCCACACACCCACACCTGTCACACAGTCTGTGGCACATTCTACATTTCCCCGCCACCCTGCCTTTTCACCTAACATCTGCTGGAGTTTGTTGCATACGAATTCATAAAGGATGTCAGTTCTTGTTGCTAGCAGGCTTTCTTTTGCCAGTTTTGATGAAGCGCGCTGCCACACTAGGGAGGCCCACATTGCCAGGAACTGGGGCCTGGAGACCCACAGCCCGAAAGGAACTGAATGCTGCCAACAACCAATGAATGAACTTGGAAAGGCCCCTTCCCTGGCTAAGCCTTCAGATGAGGCCTCAGCACCAGAGGCACCTTGACTGCAGCCGGTGAGACCTTGAAAGTGCCTGTTTGATAAATCCTGAGGGCACATTGGGTGAAGGAGAGGACCCAGCTGGGCTGCACCTGGATTCCTGGCCCATAAAACTAAGATTATAAATGCCTTGTTTTAGTGGCTACATTTGAGGTGATTTGTTACATAGCAAGTGCTAATGAATACAGCCTCCTTCTCCTGTCTCAGGCAGATATTCTAGGGCATCCCTTGAGTTGGGTGCCACCTGTTTAGTGAGTGCCACCTGTTTACACAGGATGCACAAGGGAGCATCCTGGGCCATTTCCTTTGGGCAGCCCAAGGATGCTGGGATACCGGCCCACAAAGTATCCATCGTGGTGCCCATGACAGTGGCTGGTGGTGGGGAAACCAGACCAAATGGACTCATGTGAGGCAAAAAGCAGCATGAGACCAACCCAGGTGTCTGATGGCACCTACTCATCTTACCTCCTCCTGAGATTCTTGTGAAATCAGAGCCATCACATTCAGACTGCATTAGATCCCAATGTGCCCTCAGGATTTATCAAGCAGGCACTTTCTATGCACCAAGCCCATCAGACCGACAATAGAGCCATGAAGAAATAAATACCTTCAGTTAGTGAAATGCCAAGGAGAAGTGCTCAGAGATAAAACCACCTGGGGGGACTTGGGAAGCCTCCCAGAGGAGGTGTGGGCTCAAGCATGGAGCCCACACCAGGTCAGGAGAAAGGAGAAGCTGTCCAGGACAAGGGAAGGGCATGTGCAAAGGCCCAGAAGTAGGAGGGACACAGGAGTGCTCTGCAGATGGTAGGTAGGGGTTGTGGGGAGTAATCTGGAGCTCAGTCAGTCAGGGCTGTGAGAGATGGACATAGAGGTGCAGGGAAGTGACCAAACTTGAGAACTGTTTAAGAGCCTGCCTGGGCCCTGGTCTGGTAGCTAAGTTGGTTAGAGTGTTGTCTGGATACACCAAGGTTTCAGGTTTGATCCCCAGTCAGGGCACATACAAGAATCAACCAATGAATGGATAAATAAATGAAACAACAAATCAATGTTTTTCTCTCTCTCCCCTCTTCCTCTGTCTCTCACATCAATAAAGGTATGTTTATTTATTTAAAAAAAAAAAAAAAAGAGGCTGCCTGGGTTCAAACCCTGCGACCTCAGTGTCTCTGGGCCTGTTTTTCCCTGTGTTCAATGGGAAAGCAGGAATGGAGTGTTCAGGCTCATAATTGGTGGCCCGGTGTGCAGAGAGTTGGAAAAGGGAAGTCACATTACAGAGACTGGAGGCCATTGCTTGTGGGTAGGTCCCAGGCAGGCAGAAAGGATGCAGCTGACTCCAAGGGGCTGGCCTGGGATGGGGCAAGGCCTCAATTCCATGTCCCTGCAGGGCTGCACTACCCAACTTCCTGGGTATAAGAGACAGCCAACTGCTGGGATCACATTTAGGTCCCCAGAACTGCAAGCCTCTCTCTGCTGGATGAGCGCCCCCATTGGGATCCTGGGATATGAAGTGAGCTCCTGAAAAAGGAGAGGCAGCTTGGCATGTGGTCGAAGTGGGGGCTATCAGGATTCTAATCCTGATTCCTCATCCTCCCACATCCGTGGCCATGAGACTGCTGGCTATACCTATTGGAGCCTCAGTTTACCCATCTGTGGCATGAGGACAATAAAGAACCCACTGCAGCATCTCTGAAGATTGAACGATTTTTTTAAATACCTGAGGCACTTCTAACAGCGCCAGGAAAATCGTTAGATCCTCTCACTCCAGCAAGGGAAGAGGGGCTTTCGGCGGTGGTGACAAATGAGTAAACAGGCAGGAGAATGAAAAGGCGAAGGTAGGGACCCTGAGGTTTCCCTGATGCTGTGCCCGTTTCGCAGACTAGGCGCTGGAGGTTCCGCGAGGAGGTGGAGTCGGCCGAGGTCCGGACCCACGTGGGGCTGTCTTCTGCTCCGCAGCCGCTAGAGGCCACTCGAATCCCCGTTCACGGGTTCCGGCCGGGTCTCATTACGTAACGCCGCGGCCACGCCCCCGCCAGCCGCGTCGCACGCTCCGGCCCAGAAGGCGCTGCAGAGACCAACTCCCCGCGTCTGGACCGAGTCTGGGGCGTCAGTCCACCTGCAGAATGAGCGTCCCTGCCGCGACCCCCATCTTCGCGCCTGGAGAGAACTGCAGGCCCGCGTGGCTGGCGGCACCCGCGTCTTACGATGCGTCGGACTCGTACTTGCAGATCCTGGGCAAGCCAGTGATGGAGCGCTGGGAGACCCCCTACATGCACGCGCTGGCGGTCGCCGCCGCATCCAGAGGTAGCTCCGCGCCCGGCCCCAGGGTAGTCGCTGTGGGTGACCAGAGCCGGTGCCAGCCTGCTCTCCGGCTGATGCGCATCGGAGCCTCTCTGTGCCTCTTTCCTAGCCTGGGGAATGGGGCTGCTAATGGGAGAAGACGACGGGGAAATACAAGGGGTGCTGCAGGCACGGGGCATACACCCAGTAGGCGCCCCCTAAGTACCGGAAACTTCCTCTTCAGAAGAAATGAGGCTCCGCGTGCCCGCCTGAGGTCGGGTACAGAGGGTGGCGGCGGGCGGAGGGCGCTGCCCAGGCCCACGTGAGGAGCGCGGAACACTCCACCCACCCCAGCTAAGAATAGCTCCGGGAAAGCTGGGACAGCTGAGGCTGGGAGACAGCTGTGGAGGGGTGAACCTACGCTCCGGTGTTAGGGTCCTAGGAGTGCTCAGGTCCCCCAAGGGCTGGGCCCGTGGCCTGTAGGCCTCCGTCTGTGGTGCAGTGGG